GGGGTTTCACCGTGTTGACCAGGATGGTCTCGATCTCTTGACCTCGTGATCCACCCGCCTCGGCCTCCCAAAGTGCTGGGATTACAGGCTTGAGCCACCGCGCCCGGCTCTAAAACATGTCTTATTAGCTGACCACTAACCACTGTACATCCACTGCTACAACCCTTATCCAAGCTACCATTACCTGTCACCTGACAGCTCTTCCTAATTCAGATCACATCAACGTTCAGATCCCTATAATCCGAAGAGTAAAATTCCAAATACAAGGCCACCCTCAATTTAGCTCTACCTACCACTTAATATCTACCTACCTCTTAATATCATCTGCATTATCATTAGAGCCATACTGGCCTTCTTATTGCCCTTTAAGATACCAAGTTCCCTCCAAAAACAGGGCCTCCGAATTTTCACTTGGAACACTCTACCCCTAGATTTACTCATGGCTACCTTCTCTTCAAATCTTAGGTATACCTCTTTTCATTACCATCCTGGGTAGAACAGCCCCAACTCACTATTCATCCTCTACTAGTTCTACCCCAATTACCCATGTGGTCTTGAACAAATAGCTAACCCTACTGTGCCTGAGTTAACCCTTCTGTAAATCGTACTTCTCTCATAGGATTACCATTAGGATTAAACAGGTTGTATTCTGCCCAGGACAAATCGGAACTGAAATTAACATGCTTGCTGCCTCTCTCCTTCAAAATACAAATCCTAATGGTAGATTGTGTCTGCTGTACTGCCAGCCACCATCTAGGCAAGTTTCTGGCACATACTCAGTGCTAATATTCATTGATGGCTATACAAGTTCTTCTCACATCTTTCACATATATGTGCTACTTTATTATTTGTGCTTGCCTTGAAACACTAAGTCATTCCAAGTCACCTTCCAATGAAATCTCTCATAGCTGCTTTCTATTCCAAAAAGCTTGTCACTGTGTCAGGCAGTTTTTTTGTTGTTTGTTTTTAACCTCTCCAAGCTTTAGTTCACCTCTTAAAAATCAAAAAGAGGGTTATCAGAATAAAAGGTATAATGTATATAAAATGACAGGTCATCAAAAAATATTCCTTTTTTTCAATTCGTAAACACAGTATTCAACATCTATTAACTTCTGATCCAAGTCTCCACTCTGCCTTATTACTTAATGCTGTGCTTCCTCAATTAATTTCTGATTAAGGGATCCTTAATTTTAGGCCTTACTTAAATTACTTAATTTTAGTATGGAGACTGAGTTTACAATTTTCTAATATAAAGCCAGGATAAACATGCATTGCTTTCAAAGTTCAAATTCCTGGTGTTTAAAACCCCTTTTCTAAAATTATTCATTCTGAGGTTGATTTTAAAGCCTTTTATTTTTGAGACAAGGTCTTGCTCTGTTGTCCAGGCTGGAGTGCAAGTCCTGGGCTCAAGTGATCCTCCCACATCAGCCTCCTGAGTAGATGAGACCACAGGCATGTGCTAACATGCTTGGTTAATTTATTTTTTATGGAGACCAGGTCTTGCTATGTTGCCCAGTCTGGTCTTGAATTTCTGGGCTCAAGTTATCTTTTTGCTTCAGCCTCCCAGTGTACTAAGATTACAGGTGTGAGCCACCACGCCTGGCCTGTGTCACCCTGTAAAGCAGATTGACACTTTGATAATCCATCATTCAAATTGCCTCATACTATAGTATCCTGAGCCTCCATATCTTTGGCTGTAAACAAGTACACTTAGCTTGCTTAAATTAAACCAGATGCTATTTCTCTCCCTCAGGTGTAACAGTCCTAGACTATAACATCTTATCAGTTCTGCTTCCATTCTTGTTATTGTTCCACCTATTTTCAGTACAGCATATTTTATCACTCCGAATCTTTCTTCTTTAATGGCTTCCTATGGCAATTAGAAA